TATGTTGGTCCACCACTTCGTCATCTCTACCTTCTAAAAAAAATTGTTTTTTTTTTTTTTTTTTTTTTTTTTTTCTTACAATCCACTAATTTTTGTAAACTTATACAAACATTTCCCGTTTTATTTGTTAATATATTTTTTTATTTTTCCTAACCCCGTCAAAAATGGGTATATAGACACGTGCCGCAGTTTTGTGGACAGAAGGCCGTCCGGTCTGCCACACCCATCTACGTCACGCAAAACAAAAACTGGGAGCATCCTTTTTTGATGTAATAACATGGAAATGGGTAAAAGGGGCAAACATTGGGGGGGGGGAAATTGCCCCAGAATAGGCCCAAGAACTAATACTTGTGTAATATTGATTTTTCTTTGTCCCCTTCTGAGTGGTTGGTAAACATGGGCACTGGCAGCAACTACCCGAAGCGTGTGTGGGGGGGTGTACACCATTTTACGTCTTTTCGTCTCGCAAAAAAAAATTACAAGAATCTGTGTTTTGACACACGACGAGGGTAGTGGGGCTGGTGAGGCATATAACATTCCTGTCGCGACACTATGAGAGCCCAACGAGCGCATAGAGGTATGCGCCTTAAGAGGTACTTTAACGGACACCTTAAGGGGAACACCTGAGGCGCTAAGGTGCACCTGGCGGGGGAGGCACATTCAGTCATCAGAGGAATGGCATGGATAAGCAATTCCTATTCCATGGGCAGTAAACAAAATAAAATAAAAAAATAAAATAAAAATAAGTGAATGAATAAAGTGCACTAGGTACTTCTTCCCCCCGGGGAAGTGACAGCATATACGAGCACACGGAAAAAAGTACGCACGTGCGTATAAAAAATTACGCATACGTATGTGTGTACATATGTACGTATGTTTGCTTGTGCAGCTTACTCTCGCCAGGGGAGGTGCACGCTTAAGTGCATATGGGGGGCATCCCATCATAACCTCGTATTATCTGTGGCTACTTTGAGCCTCGCGGGTAGCGCGTGCTGCACGGTGGGGAAAATGCATACCGATAGGGGGCGAGTGCCCCACTGGGGAATTTCACCCACCGATCCGAGTACCCCCATGAACACACCCCCACTTGATGATCCACGCGAGCACCCCCACTTTATATGCACATCACTTGGAAGCAAGCCCTTCGCCTCACCGCACTCACCTATTCATGGTAGTATTTTAAGCTCATCGCACAAGGGTTAGGGTACGAAAAAATTACCATGAGGCTAATTTAGCGACTTTTTAAAAAAAAAAAAAAAAAAAAAAAGAAAAGAAAAGAAAAAAAAAAATCATTTTTGAGGAACCCCTAATTGTTCACATACCATTCGAGGAATTGTACCTGCCTAGGATATCTCAAAAAAAAAAAAAAAAAAAAAAAAAAACTAGCCTTGCGAACGCAGCAAGTGAAACAAGAGAGGAAGGATAATCCTGAATACATCAAACCCATTGAAAGATTCCAACTTGGCACGTGAGTAAGCTGCTGGCATATACACATATAAACCCATTTCGTGGATGCGCGCGAAGTGTCCGTATATACAAACTATGCGCACGCAAATATCCCCGCCGCTTACTCTCACATGTTAACACCCCGGCAGGCACGGAAAGCGCGCCAAAAGTACGTGACGCACAGAATTGCAAAGCGGACGAAGAAGCCCTCGCCTAGAGCGCCCATATAAAAAAAAAAAAAAAAAGAAACAAGCTACGTTGAAGCGAAAATGAAGAGGTACGTGTATAGTATTTTGGTGGCTTGTTTTGTGTTCTGCTTGAAGGAGGATGTGCTGGTGGAGAGCGCAGATATGCCCATGAAGTATGCGGACATGCGAGGGCTAGACGATTTATCCAATTTGAATGATGAGCAAGTGAAGGACATTTTAGGGTTAGACATTAAAGGAGCCAAGGAAAGAATTGACAAATTATTTGGAGTGATCGATAAGAATAACGATAATGTAATATCAGATGATGAACTGAATGCATGGTCCATATATGTAAAGAATGAAGTATTTTTGAAGCAGGTGCAGGTAGAAATGAAACAGATCGATGCAGATAAGGATGGGTTTATTTCCTTACCAGAATTAAATGAAGCATTTTCACAAAACCTGGATGCAAAAGAGGTAGAAAAACACGCAGAAGGATTACTAAAGAGATTTCAAATTGTTGACAAAGATAAAGATAATAAATTGAATATAAATGAAGTCGGGTTGTTGATCGATCCAATGAAGGATGAAGACTTGAAGGAGTTGGAAATAAATGAAATTCTCGAACACCATGATGTGAATAAGGATGGCCGCATATCCATGGATGAGTTTAAACAAACACGAACAGATGATCCGCATGTGAAAAAGGAAGATGATGTTGCTCTAGATGATTTTAATTTTTTTGACACTAATAAAGATGGCTTCATAGACAAGGAGGAAATTGTGAAGGTGTATTTTGACCCATCCAATGAAGCAGGTGCCATTAATCTGACTGAAGTCAAGGACACCATCTTTGAAGGAAAACCAATTACTCACGACTTGTGGAATGAGAAGGCCCTCAAACTAGCAGTTACGTCTGTGACAGATTATGGAGATATTTTAAGATACCCAGAAGATTTTAAACTTGACATTGGTAAGAATGTTGTTCTTCCCTCTACGAGGAGTAGAAGTGGGATGGAAGACGACTTAGATCATGACGATGCATTTTCAGGAGATAAGGATGACGGTTCGCAGGATGACACGCTGAAAAATACAACCCCAGATGAGTTATGAGATGTGTGCGTAGGCGTCCCACTTGCAAATGTGCATTTTTTTTTTTTTTTTTACAAACACACAAACACATGCGGACGGAGTTATTGTCCAGACGACTTTAGGAACAATGCACGGAATTGCGTCTGCCGCTGTGTTTGGGGCATCAAAAAGGACAGGTCACCATTTAAAGGCGACGCGTAAAAAAAAAGAAATGAATTTTTTTTTTTTTTTTTTTTTCTTCACGTCCATACAGTGCAATTTTGCCCGTTGTTGTGTCATGCAAACATTTGTGACTCCAGAGCGCTTCACAAAATTCCATGTCGCGTTACTCCTCAAATGCCCCACTGCATGTCGATCCACCCCTCCATGTCCTCGTTGACATTTAAACAGTATATATATGTATACATATGTATGGAACGAAATTTTTTATTGTTAATACGTTGTTTATTTTAAGGAGCGCCTGTCCTGCGCAGTGAACGCAGCATTATTATGTGGTTGGGCCCCGTCATAAATGGACATGCAAAAAAAAAAAAAACACACACATCACATCGCAGCACAGCATGGTGTGTATAGTTGTGCAAGATAACTCATATACCCCTAGGCGCCGCGCAAATGCGCTGTCCGCCCGCCGCTCACGTCCTCAGACAAATAGCATCACTTAAGACCATTCATGACGGAGTAAATTTCCTGCCCCATTAAAGCGGGATTGATAATTGTGTGCACACCTGCACTTTCTAAAGCCTTGATTTTCTCTCCAGCTGTGCCTTTGCCACCACTAATTAGGGCACCCGCATGGCCCATCCTCTTACCAGGGGGAGCACATTTCCCTGCTATGAAAGCGAAAACAGGTTTTTTTTTTTTCTTCTTCCCATCATCCACATTATTCTTTATCAACCATTCGGCGACCTGCTCTTCTGCATCTCCGCCAATTTCTCCAATGAGTAAAATGCATTTAGTTTCTTCATCTTCAAGAAACAGTTTAATACAGTCGATAAAGTTCGTTCCGTGGAAGGGGTCTCCGCCAATACCTATACAAGTCGATTGTCCTAACCCAACTTTCGTAGTTTGATTTACTCCTTCATAAGTCAGTGTTCCACTTCTACTTACAATTCCAACGCACCCTTGCTTATGAATGTGAGATGGCATAATACCGATTTTGCATTCCCCTGGTTTTATAACGCCTGGACAATTGGGGCCAATTAATTTTGTTCTCTGTGACATTTTCAAACAATGCTTTACTTCTACCATATCGTGTTGACATATCCCTTCAGTTATGCAAACCACTAAAGGGATTTCTGCTTCCACTGCTTCTATGATGGCATTCTTTGCATGTGCGGGGGGGACATATATGACAGATGCGTAACAATTTGTTTTTTCCTTTGCTTCCATCGTGGATCCAAATACGGGAAGAGTGTATTTTTTGTCTAGGCTTTCCCACATGGTTCCTTTTTTCTTAGGATTCACGCCACCGACCATTTTGGTACCATATTTCATGGCCTCCGTGGTGTGGAAGGTTCCCTAAAAAAGGGGGTAGACAAGCGGGTAAGGAAAGGTATACATATGCGGGCATACGAGGTAGGAGCACACACGCATGCACAATGGCACACTGGCACAGTCGCCGCGACGAACCTGCTTGCCCGTGATCCCCTGGCATATCACCGTCGTGTTCTTATCAACAAAGACTTTACTCGTGGCGGAGAAATTCCTTCCCTGTCAATTCGCCAAAAAAAAAAAAAAAAAA